ATAGTATTACCGAAGTGACCCAACACCTGATCACAATCCTTCATGTGTATGCACATCCTCAAAGCCTGGTTAAGACCAGGGTATGACCCAGAGCGTGTCTGGAGAACAGGCTGAGACCTCTGTGTGCTCAAATGAGTATGGCTGAAATATGTGTTTGCTCTCAAAAGGTCTTTCAGGCTCTCTGTGCCAAGACAAAGCAGCAGCAAGAACATAGTGTTAGTTAAAAAAAAAAAAAGGCTACAGAGTCAAAAAAACCCTGATAAATCACAAAGCTCTTCTCTCCCCAAGATCAGCAATTGCTCTACAAACAAGTAGCTATGCAAGGAATGATTCTCCAGAATTTACCCATTCCAAGCACACTGGCTTTTTGTAAATGCTCTGTGACCCCAGACACCTCATTTTACAAAGAACACCTGTCAGCTGCAAAGATCCTTGGCAGCCTCACCTAGCTGCACACATTGAGAAAGCCTTGGTAGAAGACAGCTGCAAGGAGATGGGCCTCTGGAAGCTCTTCTGGAGGTGCTTCTAATCCAGGTTTGGCAATGGAGGGGATGAGCTCAGAGTAGGAGAGGGCTGCGCCAGGAAATCTCAACACCCAACCCCACTGAGCATCTCTCAAGAACATCCCCAAAGCCAATTAATCCAGAGTATCTGGAACATTAATGTTCTTTTATAAAGGCAGACTGAGCAAAAGTTGGGGGTGGTGTGGGATGAGTGTATCCAAAGCAGAGAAACCTTCAGGAGAGGCCTTTGCAGGTATGAACACATCCTCTGTCACATCCAGAGTGAGCACCAAAGCCAAGTGTTTTAACTGGACTGTCTTATGTGAAAACCTTTGTGCCAAGATTCAGGCTTCTATGTCTAAACTGCTCTGACTTGTATGTAAAAGTTAAGAGGAAAATGCTCTCTATCCAGGACAAAACCAGATGCCAAGTGGGCTGGTTTCCACGTGAGACAGGCACCTCTTTCATGGGCACTGGCTCTTCACTGGCTCTTCCAAGAGGGCAATGTTTCTTTCACTAAGTCAGCAATGACTGATTCACTCAAAGTGCCTGTTTCCCACAGAGAGATTTTCAGGCTCAGACAAGGACATCTGCAATGTCCATGTTCACGAGCAGGGTGATGAAACACTCGTTTGCAAACCCACCATCTTCCCAGATGCTGCTCACAGAATGTAAAATACAATACAAGCTGAGTTGTTTGCAGGTCAAGGCCTCTTTTCAGCTCAGTTAAACTCCTTTTCCTAACTGGCTCTGTGCTTGTTTCTGCAGTTGAGTGGCAATAAGTGCCTGCAGGGGTTTCATCACCTCTCTGTGAAGTCAGCAAAGCTGGTTGAGAAATTCCCATCTTGTTGACATGCAACAAGTCATCACTGATGGGTACCCATTCACCCAGAATGCTGAACTTCAGGGAGCACTTTTTGCCCAGCAGCATAAAAGCTGTGCAATCCTCATGCTGCTTCTCCTTTGGTTCCATCCTACCTAGACCTGAAATCTGGAGAAATGAGAAGTCTGTTTTTTCCAGGTCTGCCCACAAAGTTCAAATTGGAACTTTGGGGAGCATCTCTGTGCACCCATTATTATTCCTGTTTCTCAGACTGGACTGTCTGGGGCTTCTACCCCTCCCTTCCTGCCCATGGCAGAGCACTGAGATGTAAAGTGGTCCAAACAATATTTCTGTATCCAGAAGCAAAACAAGCCCAAGCTGGGGCAGGAACAGTCCCAAACAGAAGAGCCCCAGCAGCAGTCAGAGCAGGGGAAAGGGGCTGGGAAAATGGAACAGAAAAAAAGGGAGAGGAAAAGGTAGGAGAATGAGGATAGAGAAAGGAAACTAGGGATAAGGATCCAGGAGCTGGAGCTTTTAAAAAATAAGCCCATGTATGACAAAAGTACACATTTTGCCCATAAAATTGCAAGGCAAAGAGATGCTAGCTAAGGAATATTTATAAAGCAGGCATGCTTGCTCCTAGTGAGAAGAGCTTAGATGCTCTCCAGCTCCCAAAAACTCTAAGACTAGCCAAAAAATCTGTGGCTGGAGGACAGCCAGCCCATACCCAGGCCGAACGATGACAGCCCGTAATCATTTTTGTCTCACTGCAGACGACTGGTGACAAGCACATATGAGGCTCAGCCTTCTCCTTGTGCAGCCCTCCCATTTGATTTCCTCGAGTGCAGGGACAAATAGCCAAAAAAAATCACCGAATGAGGGAATAATTAACTTTGGGAGGGACTTCTGGAGGTCAGAAGTCTTGGATCTGGATGTAAATAATCGAGATTATAAATCTTAATAACAAACACCTCCATTTTCACTGCTTCTTGTCTCTTTTAACAGACCTCTGCTTGCCCCAAGCCCTGCTTTTTGTCCTGCCACTGACCTGCAAAGCTGCTAATTAAATGCAAAGAGACAAACTCCCCAACAACCACCTGGGCACTTTGGATGGATTGGATCCCTGCTTTTACCCCCCTTAACCACCAGCAAAACCCTCTTTGCCCCTGTGGTGGAGGATCAGGCAAAGGCTGGCTCCTGCCTCCTGGAAAAAGCCACTCCAGCATTGCCCCATGGCTGTGCAGCCATGGGAACGGGCTTGCACAGCATCGCTGCTTTCTCTGCCTCTTGAACAGGGAATCCATCTCCAGAAGAAGAAATCTGGGCTGCTGAGGCTCTAGCGGGGGCCAGAGACCAGATGACACAGGGACCCAGCCCAGAGCACGTACTGCCCTGCCCTCTAGATGCAGACAGGGGAATACAGCACTGACAAAAGCTGAGCAGTTGGTTTTCCCCCTCCCTTACTTCTCCTGTCTCATCTTCCACCCTCCAAGTGCAGGATGAGCACTGGTGAGGTAGAAGATGCTCAGACATCTGGCTTTGATCGATGAGGGACAACCAGCCCCACCAAGGCCACAGGGAGGTGAAAAGGAGATGGCTTGCACACGAGACAGGGCTGTCTGCCTCCCTGCAAACAGGCTCCCGAGCAGGCTGCGTTCATTTGGGGTGAAATAAGGCATGAAATGAAGCCCAGATCCACCAGCCCTGCTTCAAACAGCTGCCAGCAGACACTAAGAGGATCCTGCCAGAGGAGGAGAGTGCTCAAAGCTGTGCTGTGAGCACACAAGGCTTACTGAGAAAGAGAAATGATGACGGAGGGAAAAAGCAGCCTTGGCGGTGCATTAAAAACTGGAGCTGGGTGGAGAACATCCTCACCTGCTCGCCTCTCCCTCCTGAACAAACAACTCAGTTTGCTGAGATTTACTGCACAAAGGCCCACTCCAGGTTGCCCAGAGCCAGCCCAGCTGGGTGCTCACTCCCACATTCCCCGGCCTTTCCCTAAAAGCACCATGGGCTTTCCTCTCCAGCTCTGCTCACCCAGCACTGCACTGGTGATCCAGGCGCTGAACAAGGCCAGAGCTGGAGAGAGAAGGGGCAGGCACTGGTATGGGGAGTAAGTAATGCTTCTCAAGGAGGGGCTGTCTCTGTTTTGGGACTAATATGCACATACTTTTATGCCCAGCTCCATAAATTATGCAGTGAACCTCAAGGCTGTGACTTCAAAATAGGGGGACTGGAAAAAGCACACATACACACACACAAAAATGAGAACTGCCATTTCTGGATGCTGCATGGCCCTAAATCACCACAACAGCATCACCAAAAACCAACCTGGCAATAGATTTGGAACCCCAAACCCAATTCAGAGATGTTCCCTTCTGCACAGCCTGTTCTAGGCTGATTCTAATGTGGAGACTGAAGGCTGAGTCTTTAAAACCTCCCTTTACAAGTCTTTCTCAGGTGACTGATTTCCTCCTCCATCTCATTAGCGGCTGCCAGCAGATGCTGTTTCCCCAGCAGAAGCCACACTTCACTTGTTACAGTCATCTCAAAACCACCCTGTCATTTCTCCCCTCCTCATGGCCACAGCGAAGCCTGGAGAATATTCATCAAGAGGCAGACACAGCAGCAGCTTTTTATGGTTAAGCTCAGGTCATTAATCTCTATCGAGACCTTTCATAATCTTCCTCAGCTTCATGTTTGTTTAACTCTTGGGTAGTCACTCTGTGGAGCTCTGGGTAATCACAGATTAACTGCTTTTTAATATTAATAGCTTTTCATTAATGTGCCAGGCTCTCTCCCCTCCAGAGTGTAGGCAATAGCTATTAGCACTGAGCCTGCAGCTCCCTGTGGTGAAAAATACTTTTTTCTTTGGGGCCAAAATTCCACAGCATGAGCCCAGATCTTGTGCTCTGCGGCTGCTTTGTAGCAGAAGGATTTTAGAACAGGAGCAATTCCCAGTGCAGGGAGTTTCCTCTTGCAGATGGCTCAGAAAAGCTGCTCTGGAGTCACCCCAAACTGCAGCATACTCAAGGGCATGTAGCAGCACCACTCCATGCCCTCATCCTTCTAGGAGAGATCTTTGCTTACGTAGCCCCAACACCAAGGCCCACAAAGCAGGGTGGGGCAGGACATGTGGCCACAAAAAACCTCCCAGATTAAACACGAAACCTGAAGTGACGTGAGGGCTGCAAGCCAGCCTTTACCAGGGTGGTATGATCACAGTGTGAAAGCAAGAGCCTCAGCCCCCTCCACCCTGGCAGGACCTCCAGGTGCCAGAGGTGCAAACCCTGCTGTGCCATTCCTGTAGGACCATGTGAGGTGAAAGGAGCTGACACTCCATCTTCACCCATGTGGGGCATGGGGATGGCCACTGGTGAGTCCCAGAGCTGAATCACATCTTAGTGTGCACAAATCATCATGGGCTGAGAACGGGCTAAGTGTGAAGCTCCATTGCTTCTCATTTAGCCTCTAGCCAGGACACAGAGCACACATTGCAGAGACACTAAAGAGCAAGTCCAACATCTCCAACACCTTCCCCATCCACCTGTATTCCTGCTCTCAAGCCTCTTACATTCTTCAGTATCTTGGTCTTGTTTAAAAGCCTTCACAGGAAACATGAAGCCTTTCCAAGAACACACTTCTTGCCAAGTTATTCACCACTAAAGAAACTTCCCACCCATGCCACCAGCACGTTAACCCTCTGCTTTATAAATATCAATGGACTCTGTTTTGCATGAGCCTGCAGCTCTGTGTATTTCCCCCCCCAGACCATGAGCAGTTGGGATGAGCTGGCTCCTGCACCCATGACATCCCCTCTAGCACCCTCTGCTCCATGTCCAGCCTTCCTCTGGGATGCCGAGCTGCCCTGTCCCAGGTGTAACACAGAGCACGAGCTGACCAGCAGCCAGATCATCTCTTGGCCAGAAGGAGTCCCAGTCCCCTCTTTGCTGACAATGAGCTGGGACCAACACGTCTCGAGCTTGCTGAGCAGAACCTTCTCACTCCTCCACAAGCCCACCATCCTGCTCCCGGGGTGGAGGAGGAGACCTCCACTATCTGGAGTGCAGGGGCAGCTTGAGGTGGGACTTGAGTCCCAGGGCTTTGTCCACCACCTCCGGGGGCTGCAGGATGTGCCACTGGGCGAGGGGCCGGCGTGGGTGGGACAGCATGTCGGACCAGTGCCGCAGCTGGTTCCCTGTGGCGCGGCAGCCCAGGAAGAGTTTGCCAATGGGCTCGTTCTTGGTCACTTTGTCATGATCCCAGACAGAGATGACCACGTCCACATTCTGTGGGGGACACAAGAAAGGGGGTCAGTGGGAAGAGGTCTGCTGCAGTGGGGACCTGCTCAGCCCTGGGCACTTCAGGGAAACCCACCTGGATCTGACTGAAAGGCACCTCAAAAACAAACACCTCGTTGAAGTAAGGGCTTAAAGTGTTTTTCTTCACACTTGTCCTTTTTTTCTTCCATTTCTTCCTGTTCAGTATGAGATGCACCTTGACAAAAGGATCTGAAGAGAGAAAAGGCACACCTGGCACATGTGACAGTTTTTGACTGAAGAACTCAGCCACAAAACTACTTTCCTGAGCCATTCCCAAGGAGACCATGGCATCCCACTTGTCACTCCCCATGGTGAGAAAGCCACCTCAGAGCTCACTTCCTCCTGCCAAGCTGCCTGTACAATCCAGCCACGACATCTCCTCCTGGGAGACACCTGCAGTACTGCCCAAAGCTGGAGTATCTGTGTTGAGAGTCAGCCAAGGGCTGAATATGGTGGTTGCAGCAGGAAGCAGATCTTAACACCAAGAGTTTTCAAGGCTTTGCAGCTCTTGGTGCCACCACTGAGGCCTGGGCAGGAGTAGGAAGGTCTGAGCACAAGCAGCCCCCACTGACCTGAAAGCCCATCAGAGTCCATCCGTTTCAGCTGCCTGGCTTCCAGGATGAGCACTGTCAGCTTGCCAGTGCTGGGGACGTAGCGCAGCGAGAAGCAGATCTCACCCAGATGCTCTTCCTGATGGAGAGATGCCAGTAATTAGCACCAGCAGAGGAGCCAGCTCACCTGAGGCTGGAGCACCAGGCTGGCCCCAGGTTTCCTGAATCTCCCCCACTCTCATGCTTGCCTCTAAGGGCTTGCTTCTTGGGGCAGTGGAAGCCAAGAAACAGCACATCCCTCCCAGCAGTTTCCCACCCACCAGGACCAACCTCCACTTTACTGGCCACCGCCAGGTCACTCCACTGCTCGATGACATGCTGCAGGTCAACACTGGCCAGGGGCAGCCGGACCTCACCAATGATGTCGTGCTTGGAAAAGCGGTTGAAGTCATAGACCTGCATCACCAGTGTGGATTCAGACACCTCAGCCTGGGGTACCTGCAGGGGAGGACCCAAAAGCCTGGACTCAGTCCTCAGTGGCAGCCCTGCCCCATGAGGGTATTCCTCTCTCACATTTCCCAGTCCTGATTGCACAACCATCTCCTAGTCTAGAGAGTTTTTTTGCTCAGGGAGCAGTGTCTATCCAACACTCTTGATGGGACCAAAAAACCATCATTGGCTTTGGTTTGTACCTGGAAAGTGAAGCTCTCATTGAAGATGGGGTTCAGGGTTTTGCGGTAAACCTTGGTCTCGTATCTCTTCTTCCTGTCGGACGTTAGGTAGACAATCACATATGGATCAGATGTGCCTCCGCTGTCCATGGCCTTCAGCTCAACTGCCCGCTTCACGCCCACCTTCAGCTGGAGAGGAGTGAGGCACAAGGTCACTGGCTGGAGAAGGAGGGGGCCAGGCAGCAGGGGGCTCAGTGGGAACTGAGTGAGGAACACCTTGACACCACACAGGCATGAGAGCCAGTGGGCTGCAGGCAGGTGGGAGAGGGCAGCAAAGAGGCACCAGGCAAGAGCATGGCTTTTTCCCTGCTGTGCCATGGCCATGAGCATCCCCACCTCCTGCACGCGGAAGTTGTACTCCAGGGAGTACTGCAGCTTTCCTCGCCGCTTCTGCTCTACTTCCCGCTCCAGGTCCTCCATCTCGGGCTGGACCTGTGGCAGAGAGCAGCACTCAGCTATGTCCCTGCCATGCCGTGCTCCCACCATCCTGGGGCTGGGCAGTGCAGCAGCAAACCCCTCGGGGAGGAGGGAGGTGGGATTGAGGGGAAGGCAGGACGCACAAGGTTGATTGTGGTGGGGTTGCTGACGGCGCACAAGCCAATTCTCTCCTTCTTCTTGGGCTTCCTCTTGGTGCAGCAGCACTTGATGATGCAGATGAGGAAGAGAAGGAGGAGGATGGCCCCTGCCACAGCCACAGTGATGAGTGCCCATTTGGGTACTGGTGCAATGTTCGGGGAGCAGAGTTGGATAAAAGAGTTAAAACCATGCAAAACATACAGAGTACATTTAAACCTCTTCTTGGTCCTTCAGCATTAAGGAGTTGTACTTTCAAAATTGCCCCTAGAATCCTTGACAGGCCCCAGTCAGGGAGACTGAGGCTGAAAACCATTCCCCAAATGGGTAGCAAAGATACCCTCTGCTTCTGAAGCAGTGTGGTACCATACTGCAATAATACCTCCCTGATGGAGTCTACTAGAAAATAGAATTTGAAGGGAGGGTGAAGTGAATACACAGCCTCAGAGTCCAGAAGCCCCACCAGGTAACACTGCCTGGGAGAGGAGGGCAGGAGATGCTGTACTCACACGGGATCCAGCTAAGCCAGCTGTCCAGGGAGCCCGGCCAAGCCGTGGTGGTGATGCTGGTGTGTGGGGAGGCTGTAGTCCTGCCTTTCCTGGCTGCCACTGCCATGGCTAATCTGCGGTGACCTGGGAACACAGGCAAAATTAACAGGGTGGGGATTTCCTCTCCGGTAGCACGTGTGCTGCCCGTAGCCCAGGGCTCTAATGAGAGCAAACACAATTAAAATATAGAGCTTAGGGTAAGTGATTAGAGCTTGGCCACATTGACAATGAGATATGAAATGGAGCGGGAGGGAGCTGCTGGCAGGGAGGGCTCTGCGCCAGCTGGCCCCTCCCATGAAGCCCCTTCTCCTTCATATCCTTGCAAGTCTGCCTGCTGAACGCAGAGAGATTGAGGGGTCCAGGGCATTATAAGAGGAATCACTTGGCTGCAGGGGACAAAAGCCAAGACCTGTTTTGTGCTGGCTCCTCCCCGCCCAGGCAGAGTGAGCTGAAGGGTTTGCTCAGCTCCAGGAAAGCCCCATCATCAGCTAACACCAATTTTTGGCTATTTCCCCTCCTGTCGCAGGGCTGAGGAGCAGTAAGGTTGGCTCCTGGGCTTGCAACAGGGCTGGTGGCAGTGCTGCCACCAGGCTGGGGCCACACTGGCTCGGAAACTTTCCGTGAGCTTGGCCTGTGCACATGGCAGTGCTGACACAGCCTGGGGGAAGGCTTCAGATTTAAAGCAGGATGGTTTTACAGCATTGCTTTCCCCATGGCAAAGCTCTTATTCCAGCATGAACACTTCCTCATAGCCAGATTCCTTTCGCGTCAGCAGCACAGGTGTGTCCGGAGATGTGCTGCACGGTGAGAGGCTCTGCAGGTAGGGCTGGCAGGTATGTGCCTGTGGCTGCCTGTGGCTGCCCAGCCTCCTGCCCTGTGTACCAGCGGGTCCCTGCTCAAGCAGCCAACTCCACCTCACTCTGCCTGCATCCTGACCATGCTCTGCCCATCCCAAGGTGCTCCTTGCATGGGGATCTTCCTGGGGAGGAGGAGACCACGTCTGCACTTCGCTGAGCCCACAAAACCAGCATGCACCCTTTCTTTTTCCAGCACTGTGCTTTGCTGCATGTGGGCATGGGGCTAGAGAGACATGGGAATTGCTGTCACCCCGTGGCTTCATTGCTGGGACTACGAGTGCAGGTTAAATGACTTGTCCAGGGCCACCTGGGACTTCTGTGTCATTGGACACCTGAAGCATCTCTCAGGTATTTTAGAGGTGCCAGACTGCAGCTTTGGAGTGAAGGGTGGACAGGACAGCACAGGTGAGCAGGCATCCACCCAGCACTCAATTAGGAGTGCCAGTACATTTTGCCTGCCACAAGCTGTGTCACATTAGTCTAACATTGACCCTACTTTAAAAAAAAAACCTTTACCCCAACCCCGAAGAATGAACTACGGCACCACTTTGGGAACAATGGGGACAGCCCCGCTGCAGTCTGGCACAGGAGGCAAAGTGTCAATGGGCAGTCTGCTGGGAGCATCAAGCATCCATGTTCCTGGAAAAGGGGCTGGGGGAGCCCTGACTCTCACTCCCACCCTGTGCTGACTGGGTCCCCAAATCCAGACTTACCGACAAGTATCCTTCCCAGCGTCAGCCTCCCCTCCCTGCCGCCCAGGCTCCAGTCAAGCCACCACGTGTGGCAGGGGCATGCTGTGGGCTGAGATGGGAGCCCAGCAGGCACACAGCTGAGGGTGCAGAAGGGATGGTGGCTGCACTGCACGGCCGAAACAGGAAAGTCTGCTTTGCCAGCTCAGGAGCCGGGTGGCCCCAGCAGCTCCGCTGGCCCCACCTCACCGCTGACCCAAGCAGCGTTCATGCAGGCGAAAAGCCAGCGGGGAACTCCCTGCTGGACCAGGAAGCAAAACCTGCCCTCCTGCCTGCAAGGAGCTGGAGGGCATTGCTCCCAGCTCTGAGAAATTTGCTTCTCCAAGTTATCCCTGCAGTGATGCTGGGCTGGACTGTGTGGCTGCAGGCACTCAGCACAAGGGAATGGACACTGTCAAGGGGATGGGTGCACGACTGCATGCATCCCTGGTGAGCTCTGCACTGGGGAAGGCCAGCTCCTTGGCCCGCAGGGCATGCACTGTGTGAGGGCCTGTAAAAAGTGTGTGTGGATGAACAAGAATGCTCTGCTACAACACAGCAAGGAGGACAGACAGGACAAGGGGATACTGCTTGGGTGGTTTCATCCTCCAGCGCCAACAGAAGCACCAGGCACACAGCCAGAAGCAATTTCACAGGTTTCCATTGCATTAAATTTATGCTTATAAACTTCCTCCCTTGCTGCCAATTCAGCAGAACCTACCTTTTTGCCACGTAAATTTGGGGTGGTGTCAGGAGCAGGGAGCCATACTACAAAACTGCCAGTGTCTAGTGGATGATGTAGTGATGAGAGGAGATGCCCCAGAAACCAGAGCTGTCCCAGCTCTGTCCCACCACCCTGACTCACCAGCCCTTCCAGATTTTCACATGGTCACCCAGGCATTGCCACAGCCCGTGCCTAGCCACAGGAGAGGGGCTACCCAAAAAACAGCCACACTCACAAGGGCCTTTCACTCCTGCTGCTCAGAAAAGCACCATCTCCAGGAGCAGGAGATGCAGGAATGATGCTGCAAGAATGATGATGCAGCAAACCTCTGGGGGAACTTTTTGCACTAAACTGGAAGTCTCAAGGAATGCACAAGAGAAATGCATTATGGGGATGGGGGAATAAGGAATATTAAAATCCTCCAGGGAAAGGGGGTCTGCATATGCACACTAAGAGCTGAGCATGTAAGTAGCCTTTTCAACAGGTTGTTTGCTAGAGACAGCTAAAAGAGAAGAGATTCAGATCTTAGGAAGAAATTCTTTACTTAGAGGGTAATGAGACACTGGAACACATCACCCAAAGAAGTTGTGGCCTCATCCCTGGAAGAGTTTAAGGCCAGATTGGACGGGGCCCTGAGCAAGCTGATCTGGTGCACGGCATCCCTGCCTATGGTGGAAGAGATTGAAACCAGATGGTCCTTAGGACCTTTCCAACCAAAATCACTCTATGATTCTTATGACCTCACTGAGACCAAGCTTCACAGTACCCTGATGCCTTCCCACATTTTGGGAGGAGATTTGGTGATCCTGGTGATAGCCTGATATCATGTGGGTGGACAACTGCTCAGCCTTAGTGCAGGTGAGTTTGGTCTCCATTTGGTCTCCAAAGTTGGGCAGGCTGCAACAGTGGACCTTGTTCCAGCAGTGGGGCAAGGGAAAAGCTGTAGGATGGTCCTGGGTCCCTGAGCCCCCCTCCCGTCATCCTCTTCCCCCCACATCCCTGACAGTCACACTCTTGGACAGAAAAGGGGTGTTGAACTATCCTGGCACTGTGAGCCCCACAGGGCTGGGTGCCACACAGCCTACCCAGAAAAGTAAAATCCTACCCCAAAATCAACCCTACTCAGGACAGCAAGTGAGACATGGCTTTCAGGGAAAAAAAAAAAAAAAGAGGGGGAAAGGGACCCTAGACCATTACAGTAAAATTGTGAACGTGCTGCACCCAGCCACGCTCTGCACCTGCCTTTGCTCCCTGCAAGCCACTCTGGACCAGGTACCCCCATTTTTTTCAGTCAAAAATACAGCCATTCAGGGGCTGGGAAATGAGAGGACTAGAGGCACGCTATAAATACTCCAGCTGCAGAAAAAAGCCATCACGGCTTGCAGACAGCGATCTGAGCCCAAGCGCCGAGCGGGCTCCGGCAGCAGGAACAGCGCCGGGCCCCCTGCCCAGGGTGGCCGCGGCCGTGCCCGAAGCCAGGCCCAGGTGCCCGCGATCCTGTGCGATGCCAGCTGGGAAATGCAGTCTGGCCGGGGCACGGCGCTGCCTACAAATCCCAGCGCTCCGGGGAGCGGAGCTGCGCCCATCCCGGCTCCCGCCTGCTTCCTGCGGCGCGGCAGGGGGAAATATAAACAGCGGCGCCGGGCAGCCGCGGGATGCTGCCGCTGGACGGGCCGGGAGCAGGGGCAGCGCTCGGGTGAGTGAGCGAGTGTGGGCTTCTCTCCGGCAGAACCCTGCCTGTGTGCAGGGGAAACATCTGCTACGGGACCAGCAGCACCCGCCGGGAATGTTTTCCTGGGGTCTCGCAGCGAGACGTGTGCCTGCGCGGATCCCTGTGTCTGGATGCGAACAGCGCTGCGGGTTATCGGGGCAGGGAGGTGGAAAGGAGAAGTCGAGCTTGGTTTGCAGTGCTTAGAAGAGCGAAGCAGAAATTAGAGGTGGGTTCTCCCACCAGGAAGGGCTGCTCAGCTCCGTTGCCTCCTTGGCATTTAACTTTGACTTTCAGAGAATACTTGGCTGAGATTATGTCAGAGGAAAGTTTCTGCCTGCGCTGGGCTGGTGTTTGCCATCCTCTCTGGAAGGAGACCCCTTCCAAGCATGGGACAGGGGGTGGAGGAAGCAGAGGGATGCTCAGCATCTCCTGGCTTTCCAGGCCCTGTCTGGGAGGAGACCCCTTCCCAGCATGGATGAGCCAGGGGGTGGAGGAAGCAGAGGGATGCTCAGCATCTCCTGGCTTTCCAGGTAGCCCTGGCTTTCTACTTTCTACTCCTGGGGCAGTCGGGGAGTGCACATGCAAGCTCTGAGCCCCCCATGGCAAGGCTGTGGCTCTCACGGCTGGCATCAGCCAAGTGTGTTGCCTACTGGCCCAGGCAACATTTTGCAGTCTCTGAACAATAAACATTAATTAAATAAAACTGGGGCACAAGGCAGGTCTCTGTGGACAGCCTGACTTGTCCTTTACACTGCATGTTGGCTTTGCTCTTTGCTTGCCCAGCCCCCCAGTGCAGTAACTGGGTAGGGCCTGACTGGCTCACAGGGCTGTGGAGGGGCAGACCAACCCCATTGCAGGGGTCTCAGCTTTATCCAAGCCCTCACCACACTCTTCTACTTACTCTGGACTTTTACAGCTGCAATTGAGCTGCTGATGCAGTGAACTCCTTCATTTGTAGATACAAATTCAACATTCAAGCTAAAGGGGCAAAAAAGACAAGGATGTGAACTAGAAACCTACCTGTAAGATCTAACCTACTGTGGCTTTTAAAGACAGCCTTATTTTGCTTGGAAAAGAGATCCACAACAGCTTTCAGCAGTTCTACACAGAGTGGAATAAAGTAAAAATAAAGAAGTGATCTGTGTTTGAAAAGCCATTTTTCCATCACATTTAGTTGGAACTATTAGAATAGTTTTTCTCGGAGCAAAGTGGCTGTCAACAGAAACAGGTTCATTTGGGCTGCTGTACTTAGTGTGTAGGGTGTTTCCTGTCTCCTTTCCATTCTTCCCCCTCTCAAGAATGACTATAGATTGACTACACTATAATCTTTCAGTTTAATTTTATATTTTCTTTTAAAGGCTGACAGCTGAAGATGGCAGACCTGGAAAGCACAGTCATAAACACCAATGTAAAACAGGTAAAAGGCTGTCCATTACAAAACACACATCCTGTATTTCCAAACCAAGTCTTGAAATAACACCACAGAAAAGAACACACCACAACCCAGAACTGTGGTGGCCTGAGTTGCTCATGCCTGGGTTTCAGCAGAAGTGGCTGCCCCAGGGCTGCTGGGCACCTGGTCCCAGTGAAGTCCATGTGATTTCCAGTTGCTCAGACTGGGCAGGTACATTTGCTCACACTTAAATTTTGGAGCAACCAGGGAGAAAGCAGCAGCTTCTCTACATACACAGAGACTTTGTTCAGCTGTCCAGAACAGACACAAAGAGTAG